TTGCAACCAAGATTACTTTATCCAGCAAGGCTATCATTCAGAATAGAAGGTCAGATAAAGAGCTTCAAACAAAATAAAAAGCTAAAGGAGTTCATCACCACCAAACTAGTATTATGTGAAATGCTGAAGGGTATTCTTTAGGAAGAGAAAGAAGAAGAAAGTAAAAGGTAAAGATAAAAAAATTATGAATAACAAAGTGACAATAAATACATATTTATTAACAAGTGAATCTAAAAATCAAATGAATAAAAAATCTAATGAACAGAATAAACTGGTGAATGTAATAGAATCAGTGGCATGGAAAGGAAGCAGACTGACAATTCTCGGGGGAAAGGGAGTGTGGGGATGTGGGAAGAGATCTTACACCTATGGATGAGGATAATCAGGGGGAGCGAGGGCTGGTGGTGGGGGGAGCCGGGTGGAGGAGAGCTATGGGGGGAAAAAAGAGGAACATTTGTAATAATCTGAACAATAAAGATTTTTTTAAAATGTGAAACTAAAAAAAAAAAAAAACACATAAAAGGTATCCAAACTGGAATGGAGAAAGTGAAACTGTCATTATTAACAGATGACGTGATATTGTACATAGAAAACCCTAAGGACACTACCAAAAAAACCTATTAGATTTAATAAATGAATTCAACAAAGTAGCGGGATACAAAATTAACATCCAGAAATCAATGGCTTTTTATACACCAGTAATGAATTCTCAGAAAGAGAAACTAAAAAAACAATCCCACTTACCATTGCAACAACAAAAAAAAATAAGATGCTTTGGAATAAATTTAACCAAAGAGGTATAAAACCATGTCCTCAGAAAACTGAAAAAAGAAATAGAGGAAAATACAAACATATGAAAGAATATACTGGGTTCATGGACTGGATGACTTAACATAATTAAAATGCCCATACTATCCAAAGCAATCTATACAGTCAATGCAATTCTTATTAAAATACCAATGGCATATTTCACAGGACTAAAACAAATACTCCAAAAACTTATATGGAACTAAAAAAGACCACAAAGAGCAGCAGCAAGCTTGAGAGAAAAGAACAAAGTAGGAGGGATCACAATACTGGATATCAAATTATACTACAAAGCCACTGTAATCAAAGCAGCCTGGTACTGACACAAGAAACAGGTATATAGATCAATGGAATAAAACAGAGAGCCCAGAAATCGACCCAAGTCATTATGCTCAATTAATATTGATAAAGGAAGCAAAAGCATACAATGGAGGAAAAACAGTCTCTTCAATAAATGTTGTTGGGATCACTGGATAGGTACATGCAAAAAATTGAAACTAGACCATCAACTTACACCATACACAAGAATAAACTAAAAATGGATAAAATACTCAAATGTAAGTGGTAAAACCATAAAAATACTAGAAAACCATAGTCAGCAAAATATCAGACATCTCTCATAGCAATGTATTTGCCAATATATCTCCTCAGGCAAAGGAAACAAAAGAGAAAATAAACAAATGGGACTACATCAAAATAAAAGGCTTCTGCACAGCAAAAGAAACCATCAACAAAATGAACAGGAAGCCCACTGTACATACTTGTCAATGATATATCTCATAAAGGTTAATTTCCAAAAAACATAAAGAACTCATACAACCCAACAAAAGGAAGACAGACATCCAATTATAAAATGGGCAAATGACCTAAATAGACACTTCTCTAAATAGGACATACAGATGGTCAAGATACATATGAAAAAATGCTCAAGGTCACTGATCATCAGAGAGATGCAAATTAAAACAACAATGTCATATCACCTCACACCTGCCAGAATGGTAAACATCAGTAAATCAACAAATAGCAAGTGCTGGCAGAAATGTGGAGAAAAGAGAACCCTAGTACACTGCTGGTATGAATGCAGATTGGTGCAGCCATCATGGCAAACAGTATGGAGTTTTCTCAAAAAATTAAAATTGGAATTGCCATTTGACTCAGTGATCCCACTTCTAGGAATATATCCTACAAAACCCAAAACACCAATCAGAAAGGATGTATGCTCCTCTATGTTCATAGTAGCACAATTTACAATAGCTAAGACTTGGAAACAGCCTAAGTGCTCATCAGCAGAGGAGTGGATAAAAAAGCTGTGGTACAGCTTCCTTTCCCTGCCGATAGCGCTCTCGCAAACATGTGAACATTCCTAAAACCCACCGAACTTTCTGCAAGTGTGGCAAGCATCAACGTCACAAAGTAACACAGTACGAGAAGGACAGGGATTCTCTGTATGCGCAGGGAAAGCAGCGTTATGACAGGAAGCAGAGTGGCTATGGTCAGCAGACTAAGCTCATTTTCCAAAAAAGGCTAAAACTACAAAGAAGATTGTGCTGAGGCTTGAATGTGTTGAGCCCAACTTCTGATCTAAGAGAATCCTGGCTATTAAGAGATGCAAATGTTTTGAACTGGGAGGAAATAAAAAGATAAAGGGTCAAATGATCCAGTTCTAAGCTCCATATTTTGTTTTATGATATGACAATAAAATCTTGATATGTTCACTTCAAAAAAAAAGTCATGAATTCTTAATATGAGAACTCTACACAATTAGTATCTCTCTGAAACTCAAATTTAACTGGCCATCCTGTGTTTTTATTTATTTATTTATTTATTTTAAATATATTTTATTCATTTTTTTAAAAATACATGATCTCACTCATTTGTGGAATATAATGAACAACATAAAACTGATGAACAAAAATAGAGCCAGAGACATAAAAGCATCGAATAGACAGCCAAACTTCAGAGGGAAAGCAGGGGAGGGTGGAAGAGGTGGGAAGAGAGCAACCAAAGGACTTGTATGCATGCATATAAGCATAACCAAAGGACACATACAACAGGGGGGTAAAGGCATGTGCTGGAGTGTGGGAGTGGATGGGGAGAGGTCAATGGTGGGAAAGGAGACATATGTAATACTTTAAACAATAAAGAATTTAAATTAAAAATAAAAAAAAATTTAAAGTGAGATAAGCTGCATTTGATGTTAATTTGAAGGCAATTAATTGATCTACTTTCTTATATCTTACTACACTCCATATGTTATTAACTGAAATAAATAATCTTATTCTCACTTAAAAAATTAAAAATGAAACTGCCATTTGACGCAGTGATCCTACTTTTAGGAATATACCCTAAGAAACCCAAAACACCAATCAAAGAAAAAATGTATGCACCTCTATGTTCATAGCAGCATAATTTATATAGCTAAGATCTGGAAACAGCCCAAGTGATCTGGAAACTGCCCCAGTGCCCATCAGTAGATGAGTGGATAAAAAATCTGTGGTACATTTATACCATGGAATATTATGCAGCTGTAAAAAGAAGGATCTCTTATCCTCTGAGACAGCATAGAGGGACCTGGAGAGTATTATGCTGAGCAAAATAAGCCAGTCAGAGAAAGACAAGTATCACATGATCTCACTCATATATAGAATCTAATGAACAAAATAAACCAATGAACAAAACAGATTCAGAGACATGGAAGCATGGAAAACAGACTGATGAATCTCAGAAGTATTGGGGAAGGGGCGTGGGAAAAGAGTAACCAGGGAACTTATATGCATACTAGAGGCCCGAAGCATGAAATTTGTGCAAGAGTAGGCCTTCCTTCCCCCGGCTCCTGGCACTGGCTTCCCTCTAGCACCAGAGACCTGGGCTTCCCTCTGGCATCCAGGACCCAGAGTGCCCCAGCTTCATCCGGAAGGTCATCCAGAGGATGTCTGGTCTAATTAGCATATTACATGTTTATTATTATAGATATGCATAACCCAGGGACACAGACAATAGTACAGTGAAGGCTGGACAGTGGGGAGTGGAGGGGGTCAATGGAAGGAATAAAGGGAACATCTGTACTGGGATAAATTTTAAAAATAAATAACTACATAAAAGATTGTACAGTTCTCCTTGGCATTGTCTATAAGTCACTGTCCTCCACAGACAGGGCTATAGAGCTGAAGAGAGTGGCCAGACTTAGCACATAAATAGACCCAAAAAATGAACCTTGACCTCAAATGAACCTTTCACAGAAGTTAACTCATCAGATAATAGAACCTGGAGGACATCATACTAAGTGGAATAAGCCAGTCACAAGAGGACAAATACTGTAGGATTCCACTCAGATGCAGTCCCTACAGCAGTTTAATTCAGAGAGACAGAAAGTAGGATGGAGTTGCCAGGGTCCACGTGAGGAATGGGGACTTAGTGTTTGAAGGAACAGAGTTTCAGTTGTGAAATGAAAAAGTTCTGGAGATGGATGGTGGTGATGGTTGCACATAATGTAAATGTACTTAATACCACTAAAATGTTAGAATTCTGTTTTATGTAGTGTATATTTTAATAAAATTTAAGGATATATAAACCTTTGTTGATTTATAGTTAATTTAAAAACAGATAATGGGAGAAAGAAGATGGCGGCAATATAGGCAGATGCGTCCCAGGTCGTGTCCTGGAGCAAATGGAGTGAGCAGCTGAAACTAATAACACCCACCCCGAATTGACGAAATTGCTCAGCTGGTGAGACGGTTTGCAGCCGGGAAGGGCAGAACTCCCCTGGAAAGGTAGAAAAAAAAAAACCAGGGATTTGGGCAGGAAAGGTAGCCAGACCTCTGAGCCGAGAGGGTTGGAGGGAGACCGCGTGGCAGACAGCTGCGTCCCTTGGT